GGTTCTGTTTTTTTTTTCTTTTTTTTTTTCGTGAAGATTCTAATGGAGCAGGAGAAGCATTTTCTGCCCAGCCGATCTGCTGAGCTTAGTGTGGAGTGGTGTTTGGAATGATTTTTATTGCCCTGACTAAAAGGAGTTTGGAGCTCTCTGAGCTGTTGTTAGAGCATGTCTATCCCTCTCCAAAAGCCCATAAAATGAACCTCTGTTTAAACTTAAAGGATGCCCTTGAGACCATTAGCTCTGCTTAGGAACTGCAGTCCTAACCTATTAAGATAAAAATAAATGTGGCTTATTTGGGCAAGAGAGAAGTGGGAGCCACCCCAAACATCAGGGAGCTACAGCAGACAGAGAATGTAGAAGATATTTTAAGTTTGGGGTTGTTTTTTATTTCATTTTTGTCATGTAGCTTCTAATTCAAAGTGAAATTCAACAGTGTCTTGTACTTGCCACAGCTGTCTCCTGCCTAGGTATGTAATGAATTTAGAGATAATAAGAGTCTTATGGAAATACCTTCTATTTCCCAGCAAAACTTAGTGTGGAAAATTACGGAGTTCCGGGAAGACCTGCAGCAGTCCAAGCCTATGGGACAGCCTTCAAAGGAGCGCTGGCGAATTGCCGTGACTGTAGCTTATCCAAGAGAAGGTGAAATGGAGTCAGTTATCACCGAGGCTACCTGCGAGAAGGGGTGGGTGGCAGGTGAGTTTTATTTCGTGGTCTTAGGCCGGCGAGGCCGCGCAGGAGCTGGTGCAGGACCTCGCGCGTTGCCCCGGCTCGCAGGGAGGCTGCAGCCCTGGGGTCAGCAGCAGGGCCGCCCCGGCGCCGCGGGCGGCGTTTGGCAAAGCCCGGGAGCGAGTGTCACCTCCCCGCGGCGCGGGCGGTGCCTCGGCCCCGCGGGGACAAGCAGCATCCCCAGGCGGGTGACAAATCGCTGGCTTGGCACAGCAGCAGTGAAAGGCTGAACAGCTAAAGATAGCTACAAATAACCCCCCTTTTCCCTCTGCTGCAGCTAAAGTATTTCACATTAGAGCTTTTTTTTTTTTTCCCCTCAGAGAATTTGCTAAAAATGGACTTTCAGCCATTCCTGAAATATTTAGAGAGCGCTGGTGCAATGTCAGCAGAACGTGCTGGGGGCTGTGCTGTCCCTGCTCCCTCAGAGCCCTCGGGGACGCAGCAGGTCCAGGTGCCTGCGAGGACGCGACCCCGCAGCGAGGAGAGCTCGATATCATTCCTGTTTCAGGGAATGCGTGTTGAAAATTCCAAAAACAGTGTTGGAAGTATCTGCTCCCTTCTGCTGCCTGCTCACCAGCAGCTCAGGAAGGAGGTTTGAATTCCAGGGAGCGCAGGTGGAGGAGACTCCCGGTCTCCCTGGTGTGGAGACGTGGCCGTTCCTTCGTTTGCTGTGCCGTGTCCTGCTGTTAGGAGATACAGGGGGAGCTTAGAGAGCAACAGGCCAAGGGCTCTGCTTAGATCCAAGTGCAGGGCAGCAAGGGGCTGGGTGGTGGCTATTTCCAAAATGCAGTGGAATTACTGGAATATTCTTTGAAGGCGCTGTTGCTAGGAAGGTTGGGTTTGTTACTGCGTCCACAGCAAATATCGTTAGGCAAAGTTAAAGATTTTTCCGTTCCTCCGAGGTCCAAAATGAACTTGCATTTTGCACAAGCAACATAACATCATTGCTTAATATCCCTGGTGGGCTGCTGGTTGGGCCACCTAAGAGATGTAAACAAATCTATTTCGTGTAGAATATTTCTATTTCTTTATGTTACATGCAGCAAAATCAAGCCAAGCAGCAGTGCTAGTACAGCGATGGGGAGCTGCCTGCCCATAGTTGGGCCACAGTGTTTGGGCCTGAATGGAATAATTAAAATCATACCCAAAAGTGATATGGAAATAGCAGCTGTTGGGTTTTACTAGGCACAGGCCTTGTTTTAGTGGGCAGAGAAAATTCTCTCTCTCTCTCTCAGACGTTTTTTCTTTTTCCAAAAGGAGCAACTCCATTTCATGGTTAACCATTGCTAACATTATCCCTGCTGCTTCTGATCCCTCAGCAGCCTAAATGGATGACACATAGGCAGCACTGCAGCTCTTTCATTAACCCACTCAAGGAAAGCCATAAAGATCCAATTACAAAGCAACAGGGAGTCAGTAAAAGCACCTTCTGGCATGCCTTGGAGCCTTCGAAAGATAACGCACCACACTGAACCTTCCCTTCAGCAAAACTAAACGTTTTCACCTACAAAAACGCCCATCTCTGAATCAACTGCCTGATTTGCAGCAGGCAGATCAAGCACGCCACAAATAACTAGAATTGAACAGGAAGTAAAAGGAGGCAATGTTTGAGAAGGGAGTTGAAAAAATAAGCTTAAAGCTGTGCTGCGTGTCAGAGAAAAGAGCTGCCCTGTATTACAAATTAAGAATTTGGCGTGTCTGTATCAACAGGTTAAGGAATCTCCTGCCTGACATCTACTATATTTGTGCATGCAAGGAACACAGTAGTTCAAGTTCTGCTGCTTCTGCTGATTTTCATTTTATGTTCATTTTTGCCCAAGCTCATTTACAAGCTTATTTCAAATTCATTTTAGATGGGAAAAAAAAATCTTTTTGTGCAATAGGAAGCTGTCTTTGAATATGCACAATCATATTGCTTGCCAAATCCAAAGAGAAGCAGATGGAGGAAAATTAATCCCCATGCTCAGATCCACAATGTTCTTTAACATTTAACCCTTAGCCTATAAATAGAGCAACACGTTTAAATCCTTCTTTTAGTTGTCCTTAACTGTTGAGACTGATGCAGAAGAGATCGATTCTGCATCGCTCACAAGTTCAAAGGACTTGTGTGTTGAATAAAACATTATTAATCCCTTCTTCTA